ATGAAATCTGTCTGTGATACCAGGAGAGATGTCTTGGCTTCTCAATATGCAGTGCTCCATCTATTTAATGGTCACCCTGTTTATATAGCACTTCAGTTGGTCAAGTTATTTACAGCGTCAATAATAACATCTCCATGTGGCTCAAATATTATAGCTTCATCGAAAACACTAAGGAAATCAATGACTGCATGCTGGCTCTTTTCCAAGTTTCTACCACTGGATAAGTTCATCAAAAAAAAAAATTGACCTCTTGTTCTGAATTTTAAAATAGTAAGCTGCATAGGCACTGACTGTATGTATCTATGTGTGTATAGGTAGTCCACGACTTACAATAGTTCATTTAGTGACCGTTCGAAGTTACAACAGCACTGAAAAAAAAAGACTTATGATCATTTTTCACATTTACATCAGCTGCAGCATCCCCATGGTCACGTGATCAAAATTCAGACCCTTGGCAACTGACTCATATTTGTCACGGTTGCAATGTCCCAGGGTCATATGTCAGTATCTTCTGTCAAGGAAAGCCAATGGGGAAACCAAATTCACTTAACCACGGTATCACTAATTTCACAACTGCAGCGATTCACTTAACGACTGCGGCAAGAGAGGTCGTAAAATGGGATAAAATTAACTTAACAACTGTCTCACTTAGCAACAGAAATTTTGGGCTCAATTGTGGTCATATGTTGAGGACTACCTGTATACTTCCCTTTTCCTCAAAAGTCCAGGAAGGTAATCCTTACCTTACTACGGTAGCCCTTGATTTAGACTCATTTGTTTAGTGACCACACAAAATTATAATGGCACTGAAAAAAGTGATTTATGATCAGTCCCCACACTTAGGATCACTGCAGCATCCCCAGGATCATGCGATCAAAATTTGTGTGCTTGGCAACTTGGTTGCAGCATCCAGGGGCCATTGTGATTGTTGTTTATCACCTTCTCAGCTGGCTTCTGACAAGCAAAGTCAATGGTGCAGTCAGAATTGCTTAATGACAGCGAAAGTTGCTTAACATCTGCATTGATTTGCTTAACAGCCATGACAAAAATGCTGTAAAATCAAGTGCTACTCACTTAACAACCAGCTTGCTTAGCAAGGAAATTTCGGGTTCCAATTGTGGTTGTAAGTTGATGACTGCTTGTATATACATTTCTCTCTTTATTTTTGCAACAGCCAGAGAAAAAGGTTATGTTCAAATAACAGTCCATGGTCAAATAACTCTATAATGAGCTTTCTAACTGAAAAAGGACGACCCCTCATATCCAACAATTTTTCTCAACACACATGTATTAAGAAGTATCACTCCAATAATCTTCTTCACCAGGTAAATCTTGTATGTCACAGTCCCAATACATCAGGAAAGCATAGGTTCTGAAAGGCTGCAAGAGATGGACCTGAAGACAGTGTAAGACATTTTCAGTGATTCTTGTGTTGTTGTTGAGATAAATGAATACTGTTGGGTGCCTGGGGTTATGGCTAATTAATATATGCTGTCAGTCTCACAGTAAGCCGTTTAAATATGGTGAATTATCTCTCCCCAATGTAATGCACAGCAAACTGAGCGAAAAGATTTTCTTAGTTAGTTCTGGATATTCTATCAGACTGCAATCTACCGTGGTGCAAATTACACAAAATATCAAATCTGTACATATATAATAGCATCTGTACTTCAAAAATATGTCAATATGCATTTTTAGCAGGATACAAACTTAGACATTCAAAAGTCAATCAATCAATCAATCAATCAACCAACCAATCTCTTCCCCATTTATATTTTTAGCTCCCTTTTTAGTCCTGAATAATGTAGGTGGAAGAGTTAGCATTTCGACTTTTATATGACAGCTAAACATCTGTGAAGCAAGAACCTGCTGTCACGTATTAGATAATGAGATAATTCTGATCTTTTATGGCAATGGTTTTTATTTGAGAAATTATACAATATTGTATGAAAGCACATTATTTCCTTTAGGAGAAAAGTATAAAAAAATATGAAATAAGATAAATTGAAGGTCTGCTGTGTATCACCTGTGTTTTTAGATAAGAACATGGCACCATTTGCATCTAAAAGTATATTCCTCTAACAACACTAGAAACATACTTTATACATTGATCTATACATTGATTTATACATTGATCTGTCTTAAACAACACACATCCTTGCTTAATTTTGTGCTCAAGGCTGAATCATTCACATTCTGTCCATTCTTATATGTGTTTCATATTATTCATTCACTGTTATAACATTTAGCAACCAGGTTTCAAATCCATATTTGATATTCTATGGTTCAGACATATTCATTTAATCAAAGGTATTCTCTCAACCAACAAGTGTATAACTGACTTTCTTACCTACATCAATTTCTCAGTGATCTAATAAACGGCAAAAATATCTTCATTACATCATTTTTTTGCCAAAGGTGCTTTTTCCAAAAGGCAATTGGACTTTCTTGGTTTTTCTGACCTAACTAGTTAAATCCATTAGAACTGTTCAGTTAGAACTGAAGAAGACAAAAAACCAAGGAAGTCCAATGGCCTTTTTGAAAAAGCACCTTTGGACAACCATGATTTGGATGATTGAGAATCTCTATAGACAGATCACTCTTTTTCAAATAAAGTCACTCTGTCCTTCAGAAATCAGACATACAATACCTTTCAATGGGAATTATGTATTCCAATAATACGATAAAAGAAAATAAAACACTACAAAATATATATTTCCAAAATAACGATAAGAGCTATCTTGCCTTTCATTCACGGGCTCAAGGTAGCATATATCCTCTTATTTTTCTTCTATCCTCTTTTTTTTTTCATATCAACAGCCTCTATTCTCTTTTTTTCCTTTATAACAACAGCCCTCTGTAGTAGCTTGGTCTGAGAGAGAATCTGACCCAAGTCTCCTAGTGAGCTTCTGTGACTGAAGGTGGACTTGAACCCTACAGATCTCCGACAGCCAGACTAACATCTTCATTGCTACCCCACATTTTGAAGCTCCGACATATACAAGTCTTTTCATTTACAGATTATACAGGTAGTCTTCGACTTAGGACCACAAATGATACTGGAATTTTGGTTGCTAAGTAATGCGATTATTAAGCAAGTCATTACATGACCAGACCCAATTTTATGACGATTTCTACCATTGATGTTAAGTAAATCATACAATTGTTAAGTGAATCACATCATCATTAAACAAATCCAGCTTCCCTCATTGACTTTGCTTGTTGGAAGCTGGCTGAAAAGGTCACAAATAGGAATCTTGTAGCCCCAGGACCATCATAAATGGAAGCCAGTTGCCCAGCTCCCAAATTACAATAATCTAAGCACAGAGTTTGGTGCAATGGTTGAAAACTGTTACAAATTGTGACTCTGTAAGTCACTTTTTCCAGCACATCGTAATTTCAAATGGTCGTTAAATGAATAGTGTTAAGTGGAAGACTACTGTAATCTAGTGCATTGCCAAAGCCAAGAGAAACTAAAGGAACATACAAAAGATCATGTCTCTATCTTTCCCTTCGACATTAAGAAGTTCTACAGAAAGGAAGGTACAGCAAGCATACATAATGAATATAAACAATAGGGAATAAGTACAGAATCAATTTATTATCCCTTTGATACTCCGATTAATGAGTTTGGGAGATAAAAATGGAAGCTTTAATTATTTCAAAAGCATTTGCTACCATAAAACATTATTCAATCAAGCATTTTAGTTCTTGCCGCTGAAATACCAACATAAACTTTACTTCACTCAAGCCTACAGGGGGAAGAAGTGCACCAGAGCATTTGCCAATTTCTGAACTTCAACTGGTTCTAAATTACAGGAGTTCAAAGCAATTTTAAATTATGTAGCGAGACCTCTTCTCTTTAGAGATCAAGTGACCATGAATAAAAAATTTGGAACAGCAAATTTGTTGCCTCAGTATACAAGCTATACACTTTAAGCTTTAAAATTGTGCCCTAAAGACTTAATGTAATTGAAGACCTAACAAATATAGTTGTAGGATTTCTTCCTGGAAATCACAAGCACTGAGTAGGCCACACTTACGAATTTTGTTATCTTATAAGATCTGAGGCACATTAACACTTGCAAGATCTGCTGATACCAAAGATGCTGATTCAAAAAGAAAAATGTTTTAGTATAATAAAATAGTGCATTAAGAGAAGCGATTATTGTCCAACAACTTCCACTCTAGTTTAGAAATTCCTCTTTTAGAAAGACTTGTAAAATCAATTATGGCTAAATGGGAAACAATAAAACCAATAGAGAAAGGAATTAAAAAGTGACACATACTTATGCAGTGAAGCAAAATAGATTAAACCAGGAAGGAAATGATTATGTAGGAAAATCTTCTCCTAGCTTTATTAAATGATGCTTTAGTTAAATAATTAGAATGTCTATTAATCTGATATCAAAGCTCAGAAAGATATTTAATTTTTTTTAATTAGGATCAAAGTTAATCTTGTATATGTTACTGTACTATATCACCAACAAGCCCAGAAGAATTAAAAAAACCCAGTTGCAGTATTTATTTATTTATTTGCTTATTTGTATCCCACCTTATTTTCAAAAATAACTCAAGGTGGTGAACATAGTATATATGTTCACACACTTTCCTCCTATTTTTCCCAAGACAACAACCCTGTGAACTGAGCTGAAAGAGAATGATTGGCCCAAGGTTACCCTGCTGGCTTTCATGGCTATGGCAGGATTAGAACTCACAGACTCCCACTTTCTAGCCTACTGCTTTAACTACTAGACCAAACCGTTCCAGATTTTAAATAAACTATAAATCAGGGGTGTCAAACTGCTGGCCCACGGCCCGGATGCGTCATGGCAAAACTGTGCCCACCCCATTGCTGGCAATGGAAAAAAGTCACGATACATCACGTGATGTTGCGAGTTTGACACCCCTGCTATAAATAAATATAAAGAGATTAAATTTATAATAGATGAAATGTCCTGAAACAAAAATCTTCAGAGATTAAAACATGTAGCACTTACCTCCAATAACTTTAGACTGGCAATTAATAAATTCTGGCTTTTTATCTGTAAGATACCGTTGACAAGTATGATGGAGAATTTGAAAGAATGTACATTTCTCAGAGGCTGTACTTGCCACCCATTGGTCAAAAGCATTTTCAAACAATAAATCAAACTCTGGGGAATCCTAGAAAGAAAAAAAATCAGATTACCAGGGAAATACTTTAATATTACAAAGTCTTACTTGCTGTATTAGATTTTCCTTAATAACACATTAAAGCATTATGAAAAAATTCATAACAAACTTTTTATAATAATTGTATTATATATAATATTTTTAATTCCATGTTATTACAAAATGTTTTTTGAAGACAAAAGGTAATTCAAAAGCAGATGGAAGGTAACAATTCTCAATTTAATCATGGAAACAAACACTGAATCTATCTGGCTCTGAAATAATCTGTTGTCAAGTTACAAGAGTATATTCCAGAATGTATTACACAGTAACACTGCTGGAAGACAACATGATAAAGAATCTTATATTATTCTGGATCCCTGAAATATCTTTGAATTAATTTCCATAATCTCCAAACATAGATCATACTGACAAGTTATGATGAATGTTTTAGTCTTGAGTTTTAGGTAGTCAGCAATGGGTACTATTTTTGCTTTGGAACTCTGAGAAGCTGCATTTGAAATGCAGTATGTTTCCTGCTAAGAAATTTAGAACAGATCCCAATGAAGTTTTCTTTGCCTCTTTATAAAAAGATAGGCATTTGGGACATGGCCAGAGTGAGGACAATAAGATTTGCAAGGGAGTAGAATGGAGGAAAAAACCCAGTGATCTTTCTTCTCCAGTGTGAGAAAGCCAGGCTTTGAAACTGGGTAAATGTAGCATCTATCTATCTTTTAGGTCAACCAATCCTTAAAAAAAAAACAAGTTTCTAAAAGTAACTGTTATAAAGGTAAAAGTAACGGAGAGACTGCTTTCCAGTTCATTGTATATCACTACCTACCTGTTGGGTATATAGTAAAAGTTCATACTCAGTACAATGAACTCTTATAGAGCAAGTCTGTTCCACTGAAACCAAGGTAGATGAACTGCAGTTATTGAGAATAAGAGAGATATGTAAATAAGACATGACAGTTTAGAGAACCATAGAAATGACCTAGGAGAAAATTGTTGAAAAGAACAAAAATATGTGTTAAATCCAAGAAACAGAGAAAGCACAAGAAAGAAACTCAGTCTGGATCTACCCTAATCCAATGGGGTGTAAAAGGGAGGAAACAAAACAGTCTGGCTTTCAAGATTCTCTTATGATAGCTATAATATTTAAAATGTTGGAGTCAGTTTCTTGATTTGGTCTGCTTCTACTACCTCCTACGAAGATATTCCTTGCTACAGAGAATCTCTTTGGGAAATGAGGTTATCATTTCAACAATAAAAGATGTTCCCATAAAGAAGTTTGTGTGTGTGTCTGTGTGGTTGGCTGTGAGTGTGCATGCATGTTGTATGTGCCTTGACTGCCTGGACTAGTTCCTGCAGTTTTCTTGGCAAGATTTTTGGAAGTGTTTTGCCATTGACTTCTTCCTAGGAGTGACTAGCCCAAAGTTACCCAGCTGGCTTAATGCCTTAAGTGAAACACGAACTTACAGCATCCTAGTTTCTAGCCTAATGTCTTAACTACAACACTAAACTTCTTCTTCCAATAAGACAAATTGGATAAAACTCATATTTGCTCATTCTGCTTCCAGAATATTCCCTCACAGAGGAGGCAGTGGCAGGCAGAATTAGATTGCTTGTTAGCAGGCTGATGTTTGGAGCTGTAAATGTAGCATTCTCAAAAATTTTCTTTGTTTTATGGACAAAGCCAGCTAGATATGCAAAGATGAGAAGTTTCAGTAAGTGGAGGACAAATTGGTATAAGGTAGAAAGACTTAGATTTGCTAAGTACTATGAATATTTGAAGACAGGCCAATCCTGTCATGATAGAGATGGGCTTTGTTGAACCTAAATGAAGCCAACCAGCTGGTCAAAAATATGACAGAGCAACTTCTAAGCTGACTCTACAGGAAAGCCGACAGGTGGCTTCCTTTAGAAGGATTACATTTTTTAGAAGGGTATAAATATTTTAGATAATACTACAAGGAATATATATATGTGAATGCTTGAAATACATGTGAATTTCTAAAGTCTATAGGAGAATCCAAGGAGAACACAGATATAGTGGGCATAACAAAATCCTTGCACAATGGAGAGAATCAGTGATATATATATATATTAATTCCTGGATACAGGCATTACAGAAAGGATAAAAAAGAGTGCAGTGGGGAAGGTGCTGCTTTTTATATCAAGGAAATACTAGTTTTGACATAGTATAAAGCAGAAAACTGAAGAACCCAAGGATGTATAGCAACATTAGAGAAAATAGTAAGAACTTCTTTAAATATAGACAGAACAGAGAAGTGCCCTGGGAAATTAATAGACAACAACAAAAACAACAAAAGGGATTCAAAGTGGCCATGAGAATTGCAAAGAAAAGAAGTTACTATCTACAGCCCTCTTTTCTGTAAATATATAGGACAGATATCTGAGCTTACATTCATTGTCAGGGAGGTAATTGGAACAACTAAAGTAAACTGAGGAAAAGGTTCTAGGACATCTTGAAAGACAGCTACAAACCAATTGCACTCAACAGAGGGTTTTTAAAGAACTTAAAGGTGAAACTATTGATCTCCTAACAGTCCTAAATCAGTCTCAGTACCAGGGTAGAAGAGTGTAGCACCAATTTCTAAAGTGACCTGTTAAGATCTTTCAAGCTATATACCAATTATTTTAATATCAATTCTGGATAAACTGGGTAGACATAGCAATCAAATGAAAAATAACTAAGCATTTGGAGAATCAAAAATTACTAAAGGAAAATTAGCATGGATTGCTAATATACTAAAGTGCCATTGGGCAATAAATGGAGTAGACATTCTTGAATTTTCAAAAATCTTTCTAAGTTCTTTGCCAAGGTAAACTGGACAGTCATGGAATCAGAGGGTGTGTCCTTTTATGGATTACTAACTGGTTAAAAAAAGCAGAGTGGAAATATGTATTATTTAGCCTCTATCCAAATGGTTCATTTGACTAACTGTTTATTGGATACAATAAAATGGTAAAATCTACAATGATTTAGAAAGAAGCCAAGAACATCTGGAATAATTATTCAGGATCTTAAACATTTATGGTTATCGTCTCAATATATCTATTATAGTACCTTTTTTAAAGTAAAATCAAAGCAACTGCCCCTCCCCACATGTACTAATGACTGAACTGTTCCCAAAAAGAAGGGGTGAAGGCTGTCTGAGTAATCATAAGAAACAACAGACAAGTAAAAGGACATTGTTAAATGAGGAGCACTTCTATTGTTGAATACTTACCCGATGAGGATCTAAACCATTAACCTGGCGAAGCTGTTCAAGCATCCATTGTGACCTTCGTACAAAAGATGTAGAACCTTCAAACTGTTTAACTTTTGTAATATATGCTTGTGCAGGTCTCTTGTTTGTCACTGTAAACATAAAACAAAAAGGATTTGTATATAAGCTTGCAAAAGTCTTTGAGAACTGCATACAAGTTTAAAATAGTCTTGTTTATAGTACCACATTTTATCAGTTCAGTCAATCATGACAAACATAGCTAAAAATATAACAATGTAATTTTTATTTTGGGGGATGGATAGAAGTTGGGTATAAGTGTTACATTTGTGCATACATTAAACAATTAAATACAATTCTATCTGAATGAACAATTATGTTTATACAAAATATTCTTCATAGTGCTTTTTATTATATTTGACTATTTTATTTTCTGTATTATAAAGTGCTATTTATTGTCTTTATAATTTTAAAACAACTTACAATTAATCACATATTCATAAAAAAGCTAGTAACATCTTTAATTCTTAACCTCTGTGAGTTAATAAGCCTGGGAGGAATTAAAAAAAAAAATCTGAATGTTAATGTCTGATGAGCCTCACTATAGCTATCATTTCTAAGCCAAAGAAAGAAAACAAAAACACAATTATATTATTTACCTGCATCTGCATTTCTTTGGAAAGCAAAATGTGAGTTCACATTGCAAAATTGTGCCTTTGTGCAAAACCTTAATTGGATTTTTTTAATGCATACAGAATTGTTAGAGGAAGTCTTAGATTCCACCTGTATCAGGCAGCTCAGTGACTCTCCTGCCAAATCCCTTCAACTCCTAAGATTGCTAAAGAACATTTGTACAAAGAGTGAGGTCATCTGAAACTAAGAAGAACAAAAGGAGGGGTTGTGTGAACATCACCACTTGGAAAAACTGCAGTTATAGGGAAATAAGGAGGTCTTCACCATTGTCTCTCTGACTTACACACAAACAAATAGTGAGCTTTATCCTTTTTACATGGATAGCTGCTTGCCATGACATGACTCAAGAAAAGGCACCCCTTCCAAATGTTACTTTCTTTGGAAGCACTGACCAATGGCTGCAGCACTTTGTGAATGTCATGGGCAGAGCTCTTGTTGCTGTATGACAAAGCTCTAAGAGGGTACTACTCCAGAAAAAAATGGTTAAAGTTGTAATTGTTAAGGTGTGATCAGTACAGATTGGAAGTGGGTATGAGGGTTTGACCAGTGCATAGCAAAACCTGTTGTTTGTCACCATCCATTTGGAGAAATACTGGTGAGTAAGATCAGCAGACACCCAAAGAATGAAGTCAGGTCTTCAATGATATAAGGGGCTGGGAAAAACTGTGTGATTCTGATTCAAGTAGAACATTGAAACTGATTCTGGAAAGAAGGGCGTATCTGCACATAGGATTATTTGACTCCAATGGAAAAAAAAATAAAGGAATGAAGGATCTCTTTGTATGGCACACAAATCTCCAATGTCATGGTCATCAGGTACTTTTCATAAGCAGTGGATTAGGGAAGTAGTCAGAGGTTTAACAGAAAGAACAAGGGAAAAGCTCAAGGGCAGAAGCAGAAAAGGCACTAGAGGATAAAATTCTACTGGTCTTTTAAAAAATTCTCCATCAGTAAGTTAGGAGAAAAAGAAGTACATCCTGATAAAAGAAAAAAAAAAAAGGGGGGGGATGCTGCAAAAAATATGTAAGAATGAGCTACTTCACTTTTTTACAAAATGTGAAAGAGTTGATATCTCTTGCCCAATTATTTTCATGTTTCTTTCTCATTGTGCAGGATTCCTGAGAAGCTTACCTAACTTGGAAGGGTTGTGGAATTCTTCAAGATGTAACAAGAGCTATAAGGTCTGAATAGAAGCCTTCTCTCTGATGGATGGAAAGGATATTGGAAACTGAGAATAGGGCAAACTATAGCTACAGATGCCGCTAAAGTGTGCTTAGCTGGTTTGACTTATCATGGTCAGTCAGGGGGAGAATGGTCTACTAAAAGAAAAAAAAGGAAAATATCATCAAGAGATTGATAGTTTGTCTCAGTCTTACTACAAAATAGGCATTATCTACTGGCATGACATTAAAAGATAGATCTTGGGATCTGTTGAAGATCATTGCTGAAAGAGGGAGCTCCCACTTATTGGTATTCAACCTGGTAGAGCTGATCCAGTTAGAAAAGCTGCTGCTGCTTTCAAACATCTACATTCCAAGATGTAGATGAAATGATAGATGCAGCAATGACATATTAGTAGTGTATGGTGTAAAAGAAGGATGGACTTTTTGTTTTTATATCAGACTATGTTTATAACTTCCAATACTACTTTGGAAATCTGACCATGCAGAGAATCTATTCAAGAGAAAGGCTTGAAATACCTTCAAACTGCAAGAAATTTGAGTTTATTCGTATGTCTTGATCCTTTATGCTTGAACAGGCACATCGGATACAGAGAGCTTGAACTTAGCTTCCCATTTGGATATGTCTGCTTTAGTAGTGAGGACACTTGTCAGGTAAGAACAGGCATGAACTGAATACCTAATAGAAGATTATTTGAAAACAGCTACTGGTGATTCCAGATGGAACAGAGAAAAAAACTATCTTGATTATTGGTGCTGGAGATGTGAAACAAATCCATCACATCTGCAACAGGCACGCCTGAAAAATATGAAACAACTGAAGCCATAGTCAACCGTGTGTGTGTGTGTGTGTGTGTGTGTGTGTGTGTGAGAGAGAGAGAGAGAGAGAGAGAGAGAGAGAGAGAGAGAGAGAGAGAGAGAGAGAGAGAGAGAGAGAGAGAGAGAGAGAGAGAGAGACTGACACAGACACTGAAACAGAGACTTCTTGGACTGAAAGACCAAGATATTAAACAGCAGAGAGGAGATGAACAAGATGCCATGACAGGGATGACAGACAGTATTTGGGTCCATTGATCGGACAATTAAAAAAAACTTGATACGAATTGATCTAATGATTCATGCTAGAAAAACAGGATAGTCTGGTAACTTCTAACCCTAGGGAGATTTGACCCATTGGAACTATTGTGGGCATAAGCTGATAAACTTTGATTTTGAGATGATTCATATCCAACACTACTAAGAATGAGTTTTCCCCAGTGTGGTGCTTGCAGCAAATTGTGAGAGCTGTAGTCCAACATATGGACAATCCCAAAAGACTAGTTGTAATGAAAGGCTTGTCAAAAATTAAGACCCAGTATAGTATTGAGAAAATTTAAAACCCTTTTCATAATCATAACTCTTTTGACAAACAGCTTTGATTGCTTTCCTAGAAAAGCCTTCTATATATTTATAAACTGCTGATGGCATTAAAAAAATGAACTGATGCACATAAGTATTTCATGCCTAAGTTGTTAAAAAAGGAAATAATTATTATAATTGTTTACATTTTATTCCCCAAAAGACCTTTAGGTTGAACTGCAAAATCAGGAAAAGATCTTGTGGTATGTTCTACTTTTAGCTTTTTGTTTTTCCTTATTGGTTATCAGGGAAAAGAAAAATCATGAATGCTTTGCTTTGCTTACCTAAAAAGCTGAATGCAGATATTACTACATCACCTCAATACTTGTTAGTTTAAAGCTTAAAAAAATTTCCATCACTTCATGCAAGACAGAAATAGAAAAAAATGCCTTATTTTTCAATTTTAAACAATGCTGCAGTTACTATAAAGGTACATCCTTAATTGAAAAAGGGAGAGCATATTTTTGCCTGTTTAAATCTTTTTTAATCTGAAAAGATCAGAATGAGAGGGATATAGGAGAAACATTAGTGAACTGAAAAATAGTTCTAATAAAGCCTTCTATATTAAGAATAACACCAAATCTTATAATTATGACAGAACATACATCTTCTTAGTTGCATTTTTATTCCTCTTATCTGGTCCTGAGCAAGTGAGTAATGAATGTAATGCTAGACTGAAAGTTATGTGCTGAAATAATGTTGTCTAAAAAGTATAGCAAAGTGAAGTAGAATATGTATGTATAATAAGTCTAGGTAGAAAATAAAGATAAGCAACTTCATGTCCTCTAGGTGCTTTACATTTCAACTGTCATTAATTTCAACCAATAAACAATAAGAAGAGAGATGGTCTTGGAAAACATTTGGAGGTGGCAGTTTAGTGTTACCATTAAATTGTTAACTAATACGATTTCTGTGTATCATTTTTAAAATACTATTGAAGTTATTTTCCAAGTCTGGATCTAAATAACACTGTTTACAGATGAGAGAGAATAAGCAACAGGCTCAAATAATTGCAAAGTTTATAAGAAATGCAAAAGAAATAAAACGTGAAAGAGATGGAAGGGCTCAAAACAGCCAAATGAGAGCTAAGCATAGTAGTCATTGGGCATGCATTAGTTGATGAAGAAAGGTAAGAAATGTTTACGAGAGAAAACAGAATGGAATATCTTAGAAGAGAACAAAGCTATTCAACTTGCAGGTTCTCTCTTTTCATATATACTGTATATAAGACCAGTTAGAATGGCATAGTGGTTCCATAGCTAAAGGAGTCATTGGATGTGTATATATGGAAAGAGATAAAGTTGAAGAAAATGGATGCAATCCTTTATGCCATTAGCCACAGAAACCAGTAACGCAAACTGGTTCTATAGCTAATCATACCTTGAAGGAGGATAGATCAATCAGATTGCAAAACAATCAATAAGATGATGCATTCTTTCTTCCCTGAACCTTTCTTTCCTATACACTGTAAATTCTCACTGAACTACTAAGCTATTCTGATGATGGATGGATGGATGGATGGATGGATGGATGGACAGATAGATATTAGTATGTTTGCTTCTTTCTTTTTCTAATAATGTCTATTTGGCTATGTGGGTACAGCAACCATTCTTGAACAAGGACATACATGAAATGACATTTTAAATCAAACATTCACTGTTCAGATTATATGTTTCACTTCTGTATCCTCCAAAAAATATATGTCAAGTAAATCAATCACTCTATTTGCAGTTTTAATCTCTTGATAAATGCAGTTTTCTTTGAGGCATCTTAGAGAAAATATGCTGACTGAAATTTTGACATTCAATTTCCCAAAGTCTGAGATCCATACCAAATCAAATCTGACTACAGGGATCACAGAC